AAGCACAGAGCCCGTCACACTTCTCGCTGTGTTTGCGAATTTCGAGACTTTCGTCGCACACCCCTAGGACATTTATGCAAGACATTCGGAATGTTAACCGGCAATGAGATCTGGCGCTTTTTCATGGAAAGCGTTGCATTTAGACGCAGTAACACCTGGTGCTTCAAGTCGGGTCTGTGTGTGTAAAAGCGCAGTGTTGTCGTATGGATGTGAAGCCGGTATTCGATGCTCGGAAGACCAACTCGTTTGATCTGCTAACCTTAAGTTCAGAAGTTCGTACTCAGTATGCGAAAGTTTGCTGCTCATCAAACCCTGCTTAATCCCCCAAATTGTTGTTAGCATATCGTCTGCACTGGAGCATCAGTTTAGGTGCCGTTAGTCAACTTGTGTTTTCGGCTGTCCACTTTTGCCTGATATCCATGATCACAAATACTCTATCGTAGAGAAAACGTTTTGGCAAACTGAGCAGCTATTATTCCTCTCCAACGTTTGACACTGTGGACACTGACTACTCGGGTATTTCCCTCAACGATCACATGGCAGATATTTGTTGACTTCCCTTGCCATGCGCTTCGAACGGAGGACGGCATAAGGTGAACTTCGCGCAGTGGTAAAACCTGGCGGGAAATCCAGGGACTGGTCTTCTCTGGAAGACCGAGGGGTCAGAAAATCGGAATGTGTTTAGTTGCACAGGAGGCGCTTCGGTTGAGGAAATTATCCAGTGCCGCTTGTCGGATCATTACACAAACGAATGCTAGGTTTGTGCCGGTTGGTACGCACAATATGAGTTGAATGGATGCGAGGGATACAATCCGCCTTTCAGCACTAACATTCCGTTGGCCTGGAAACATTACAAGATTTGGTTGCTAACCGATATCAGGTATGTTATTGCTCTCACCTATCAGAATTATCCGAGTTAACATTTCGGAGACGTGGGCACTCGTAGCCTCTTTTCTGTAGATTGAAGCCTTTTACAACAAACCTGGCCGTACGGTCAATAGACAACTGCCACAACCAGATCTGTCGTACACAGTATATAGACGACTGTACTGTATATGCCTTACTGAGTCGCAGTACAGTGGTGGTGCCTACCACAGTTTCCACCACCATTGACGAGTGAACACTTGGCATCGAGGTTTACGTGAGCGGCATGCGACCACATCAGTGTGTTTGAATAAAGCCTCACAATGGAGAGGAGAGTGGGACAGGAAGGGAATCGGAGGTTAGCCTGTCACAAACATCCAAGGTGCCTGAACTTCCTACTCTCACTCAGGCACTCTGGATAGAAACTAACAGCAGGGAAGCCGCTGACATCAACCAGCCTCCGCATCTCCTCGTATCTCCAATCAAGCAAGGAGAGGGTCGTGTGTGCTTCAGTTTGGAGGTTTGACATCAACGATACCGAAGCTTTTCTTGACATTCTTCATTCCCGTCTGCCATGTTCTGTCCACTTGTAGTTTTCCGCTACCCAGAATAAGGGGTAGAAAAACTCCCTAACTCGGCATGCATATCACATATCTCAGCTGTCTTAGCCTGCAATGCAGGATCTCAACTTCATGCGGGATATATTCAGAAGTGC